AATGATGGGGTGTTGTATCTATTCAAACACCAGATTTGCGTTCCAATGTGTTGTATCAGAAAATCGGTAAAAGAACAAATATCTGTTCCTGGTCGTAGTAATTCAGTTCACGTGTATTGCATAATTTAGGTTTTTTGTATGTATGAACTGGTTAGAAGCAAAAATTTAAACTTGGTTTCTGGTAATTAACTAGGTAGTACAACCGAATTAAATATATGCATATTTATTACGCACTTTTAGGTATTGTTAAAAAGGCAAAAATAATGATTTACTAGTTCTATATATATCAGGAAGGGAGCAGCACTGCCTATGTAGGGATGGCTCGGATTGTTCATCGAAATGGTATTTTCAGTATCTCCTCAGTAGGTTGCCAGAACTTTATAATACTATACGGTGTTTCCTTTTATAACAATACCTATGTAATGATTCGGTCACAAGTTCTGGGAATGTCTGTAAATATCATAGCAAAAACTTAGCATTTCTTGATGTTCTTTCTTCTGCTTCTTTTTGATTACATGATAACTCAAAAACCAAAACAATGGTGTCAAACCAATTTCACTGAGGTGGCATAATTTGAAACGGAGTATCCGCCTGTATAAGTATTGTTAATGATTAGTAGTAATTAAAAAAATAACACAATTCTAGTGTAAACGAATGTTGTCATTTCCCCTTGACGTTAGCTTTCTTACATAAATCTGGTGTTCCTTTAAAAAGCTTAAGTACAAGGTTAAACAGGAATTACCAGCCACTAATAAATAAACAATAAATATTACAGTTGGAACCTCATTGTATTTAGAACTTGGTTATAAATACAACCTCCCTTTATGTATTAAAATACTGCATTCAAAAAACAAGAAACAAACAAGTGAATAAAATAATTTTCAAAAAAGGAAGTAAATGTAGGGATGTAAGTCCTTCAAAAACAATGACAAACAAGATAATAGGGATGACAATTACATCATCCCTATATAAAATCACAATCAAGAATTAACGTATAGCAATACATATAACTTTCCAATCACAATTGAGTTTAATTTATCCTATTTTTGTCTTTTAAAATTCTACTACACTGTGCGCTTGAACTATTATGTAGGGATGATGCAAATGCCATCCCTATTATCTTGTTTGCATTGCTTTTGGAGGATTGATATTAGTCATCCCTACATTTGCTTCCTTTTTTGAAAAGTTTTTTTCTTTATTTATACATATATTAAGTCACGCTGTGTTTGTGAATTTGTTTGTTCGCGAACTCCTCCCACAATCTTGAAGTAAACAGAACAAACTTGGCAGGTGGACTCGGGATGGCTCGGGGGGGGGGGGGTATTCTCATCTACATAACGTAGCCCTCTTACCAAGGGAGGATAGAGCCACCCAGGTATGATAAGGGTCTAGAATTAGGACTTCGAGGTATTGAATCCGAATCTGACTTCATATTTTGTGTTCCCGACTCCCATCAGTATTCCGGGGGACCTTGTTTGAAACTGTGAAAGCTAACATTACCAAACCTGGCACATATAATAAAATACCAAGGACGGGTATCCTAACGAAGCTTGTCTGTAGGTACGGATCCTCCCCCCACACACATTGGGTACCTATAGAAGTAATTGGGAATAATGGAGGTGCTAGATTCGGTACATTGGGGCCCCTGTGAATTATGAGAGGGCCTTTGGAGCGTGGATATTGTATGTTAATATGCTTAGTCAATGTTAGCGAGTGTAACTCAAGCAGCTGAGGGGATCATGTATTTATATATGATAGTTTCATTGTGAAAACCGAAAAAGTTCTTTTCTTCGTTATTTATGTGATGAAAACTTCAATATCTTTCCATTAAACAGTTTCAACATGCAGCTGATAATAAATTTTAATAAAGTGTACATATTTTTAAAAGTAACGGTTTAAACTCCGAACGCTGACAAAACATTGGAAAACAATAGGCCTGACATTTGTGATGAAATTCATGTAAAACTCCACCTGTTCCTCCCTCCCCCACTCTCATACTTCTTAATTTGTCCAGTTTGGACTCCAAATCGGCGTTGAATCCGAAATGGGCAAATTAAGAGATTAGGCCTATTTTATTTATTTTTATCGAAAAGGTACTTCACGCTGGTTGGTATTAATCACAGAGCTACACAATGGGCTATCTGCTTTGTCCACCGCAGGAATCTAACCCAGAATTTTAGCGTACTAAGTTCTTAAACTTATCGCTAACCCATCGAGAGACAGGAGGGAGGGCTTATTGAAAAGTAGGCTTTCTAACGTACTAATTTACACTATCAGCAGTTTAAAACATAGCTTGTCAGTATTTTAATAATTAAATTCAATGATATTTAATGAAAATTTCCATTGTAACTTTTTCTCTCAGTAACTAGTAAATGTGTTGTAATTCCGTTTTGGTAGAATATTTCCTGTTGTTGGTTGTATAGATAAATGATATAATGACGCCTTCTTAGGGTTTTTAGAATAGCTTTCTCGACAACAGAAACACGTTTATTTAACAATTAAAAATCTTAATTGTAGAATTAGCAATGAATGTATTGCTCTTAAAATCAATAATCACAAACTCTGAGATGTACAGCTTGTTCCTCATGTTATAAAAGTTGTTTGATGTATGATAAAACAAAGAGTACGAGCACTTACTTGCATATATATTAGATCATGTTTTTGTGTGTGTGTGTGTGTGTGTTTTCCTACCCTAAGTTTCAGGAAGCAGCAAAATTAGAACCTTGCCTTCTAGAAACACCCTCTTCTAGGTAGGAGGTTAAGAAGAGGGGTTTTATTCTTCTCGCTAGGGGGCATTCTTGACCTTTAACGAATCCTACATAAATCAATTCTTCACACAGCGGTGGCGTTTATACTTGTCAAAATGGTCAAACCATCAAACCACGTGGTTATCAAAAACACTACATAACCTGAAAGGTTTATCGCCAACTCATTCCCTCGTGCAACAGGTTTCAATAGTTTTGGGTCGTTAATTCGTTTTTCTCATCATTATAGGGCCTTTTCGACTTGCAGTTTTAATCTAAACTAATGCACACTTAAAATGATACATATAATTAGGCATTACAGATACGGACAGTCCAACTCATGCAAATTGTAGAAGAAATTAAGGACATTTTACAAGCAAGCGAAAATAAGTAAAACATTGTTTATAATACTTGGTTAGCAGATAATATCTCATTGAAACGTCATCACCACTTGCCTGTTTCAAAAATAGGCTTTCATATATAAAAATTGTTTGTCAGTAAGGTTGTTTGTTTGTTGAATTTCGCGTAAAGCTGCTCAGGGACGATCTTCGCTAGCCGTCTCTAATTTGAAGTGAAAGACTAGAGGGAAGACGACTAGTCAACATCTCCCTCCGCCAACTCTTGGGCTACTATTTACCAACTAAAAATGAGATTGATCATCACATTATAACGCCCCCAAGTTGAAAGGGCGAGCATGTTCGTTAAGGATATTCGAACCCACGGCCCACAGATTGCGTCTTTCTAAGGTTGAGAATAAGTTAGGGTTGGAAATGTAACTAAATGACAACATTTTTTTTAATTTTATTAAGTGCAAAAATACACAATGGGCTATCTGTGCTGTGCCCACCACGAGTATCGAAACCCGGTTTTGAGCATTATAAGCCTTCAGACTTCTCGTTAAACCACTGGGGGAAAATAACGACCAAAGTCGAAAGAGCGAGCATGTTCGACGACGGGTTTTGATCCCACGACCTAGAAATTTTGAATCGAGTGCTGATGACATGTCAATAAATAGAATGCAATAAAGTTATATGTATATGTTGTGTCCGATTATTGTGCTAAAACTTTGCTAAGTTCCTAACATAGTTCTATCTCCTTGTCATAAAATATGTAATTATCAGCATATGTAATTATCACTGTAGTTATACAAAAAATAGCATAAAAATGATCAGTGTAATTGTATGAGAAAGCTTAGCTGATAACTCGATTTATTGTGAAAAATGCAACTGTGGCCACTTAGATACCAAATGATATCTGTGCTCTGTTCACCGTGGTGAATCAAACTCAAGATTGTAGTGTTGTAAGTTCATAAACTTACCGCTGACCCATCGGTGGATCTATTAGTATTTAATTTATCCAAATAAACCTAAGTCTACTAGCGAAAACTAACTTTTGTTTCCTACGTGAGATGTATTATGGCTTATTAGATTAAATTAAATAATATTTACTTACTTGCTTTAGCGCAAACGTGTACAACGGGCTATCTGCACTGTGTCCGTCAAGAGGATTTAGCCCCAAATTCTCTTATCATAAGTCCTTACGCTTACCAGTGAGCCACCAGGGACCACATGAATTAAAAATAAATGTATATATCTGTCAGTATCATCAACAGAGATTAAGTACCGTTAATAATATAATTATTAGTACTTGTACATTGCATAATATTTGTTTTCGTGTTTACACTATTGTTGTTTGTTATTAAACATAAAGCTAAACAAAGGACTATCTATTTTTTTTCAATTGAAAGGATTGAATAAAGAAACTTGTAAGATGCCTTTTTCTATTAATTTCAAGAAAATCCTTAAGTTACTTAGCTCAGAGCAAGGTATGTTCCAAAATGATTTGGATTCATAACCTTTGTTATCGTCCAACTCGTTCCTTGATTAACGTAACTGTCACGAAACGCTAAGCCTAACATGGCCAATGGTTCAGTGTGATGTTCTTAATTAGATTAAATGGTTAGTATATATTTATATATAATATGTATATTAATTTCATACACCTTATTACCTACCTATTTATAATTATGGTATTTGACTTAGAATATATTTGTCTCAAGATATAAGCGTTATTCAGTGGAACAGAATATGAGACGTTCTGGTTTGTTTAGTAGAGAAACGTTTAAACATTTAGTGGCTAAAATGCTATACATATCTTAAATGTCTGTTTAAAATATAATTTTCGGCTTTATAATGAATAATTGGAATTTTCAAATGAGGTCAAAATACGTTTCTTTATATGTCTTTTGTTTTACAGAAAAGTATGTCGAAATTGCAAGTGTCCAAAAGAAGAACATGGGGGAAAGATGACTACAAAAAACATACCAGAGACAGAAAGTGTTGCCCATAAGATGACCCTACCATTGGGCAGCCACAGTGAAAGTCAACAGCGTCATCTACCGTCAGATAATGACAGTGGGTGTGCTCTAGAAGAATACACTTGGATCCCGCCAGGTTTAAACCCAGAACAGGCAAGTATTATGTCATATATACTATTTCTTGACTAAAAAGTGCCTTTGTTCTAAATCAGCTATTAGAAAGGTGAGAACTCGTTTTTTTGGACTAGTTGAATAAATGCACAAGGCCAGATAACGTAAGATAATAGTTTTAACAACCTATTGATACACCTTAACCTGATATATGAAGGAAACAAGTTTTCACCAATATACATAAACTCACAAATGTAACCCAGCTGGTCTACCTAGCATAACGCTTTTTCAAAAAATGTAGCAACGTCGGACACGTATGCATTATTTGTCATTACAATTTACTAAGATTCAGTAAATGTGGTTACTGCTAGGTGATGACATGAATAGGCATGTTGAGATCACTCAAATAATGGTATGCATATATATATATATATATATATAATTTCATTAAAAACAAAATAAAACCGTTATAAAATGACAAACTAAAATCGCACTCAGGCGAATCGAATACCTCATTAGACACAAACAGATTAAATTAACAATTTTCGAAATTAAGCTGAAATACATCTCAGTCTATCGATACACCTTAACCTGATATATAAACGAAACAAGTTTTCAACAATATATAAACTCATGAATCTAACCCAGCTGAGCTACCTAGCATAAAGCTTTTTTTAAAAATGTAGGCCCGGCATGGCCAGGTGGTTAGGTCGCTTGACTCGCAATCTGAGGGTCGCGGGTTCGAATCCCCCGTCCCACCAAACATGCTCGCCCTTTCAGCCGTTATAATGTGACGGTCAATTCGTTGTTAAAAGAGTAGCCCAAGAGTTGGCGGTGGGTGGTGATGACTAGCTGCCTTTCCTCTAGTCTTTCACTGCTAAATTAGGGACGGCTAGCGCAGATAGCCCTCGTGTAGCTTTGGGCGAAATTCAAAAACAAAAAATGGAGCAACGTCTGGAAAAATACAAAAAATCGAACTCGAGGTAAAAACTTAATTTTTAATAGATGAGAACTGACGATTTTGGTTATGACAACTTAATTAATTTGTACTAAAATGTGACTTTGTAACTAATTTACCTATGTCACACAAAAGATAAAATTACTTCCATAATTGCATAAGTAATACCATGTGCACCTCAATTTCAAAAGGACATACTTCACACGTGTGCATATATATATATTATTTCCTCATTCTTCTTTATTTATATATTGCGTCTCGACATGACAATCACCTATTGAGCAAACTGGGCAATTGCCCGGGGCCCCACATATGGAAGGGCTCCCGATGATCATATGTTCTCCATTTAAAGTTTGATTACTAAGTTTTCTTATTATTATGGGGCCCCATTTACTGCATTCTTTCCGGGACTCAAGAATGACTAAGGCCCCTGATCACAAGTGTGTAATATATAGCATTTCAGATATATGTTTCATCTCCCACCAGTCACTGCCTAGTAAGCTCTTCGTTCCGTAGTAGAACCAATCAGCTGGGATGGATGATGAAAGACAAGAGATTCTCAGATCTATGTTTCATCTCCCACCAGTCACTGCCTAGTAAGCTCTTCGTTCCGTAGTAGAACCAATCAGCTGGGATGGATGGTGAAAGACAAGAGATTCACTTCACGTATTATATTTTACTCTTCAAATTCAATACGAGTTCAAAGCACAGTATACTCCGCATAATCATCCTGGTCTGACTAAAGAAACGTTACCTAGGTGATTGTTCGTGTAACCACGATTTCTTCATTGACCATAAAAATTGTACTGAAATGTTATTTCAGTGTTTTTGCGAATTTGGATCTTCAGTTTGTTTAAAATATTTACACAAAATACCCAAGGAGCTGTACCAACTTTTATGTTTCGTTTTTTAGTTAATTGTTATTTTACGTTTCGCAGTTTCAACAAAATAGTTTGCACAAACGCCAAAATAGCATTTCATTTTGATACTTTAGAAATGTTAAAATAGCACAATGCCAATTTCTTTCGTTTCTAAGATTGAGCGTAAAAGATACATGGAATACTATTATAATATTATATAATATAATTATTTTACAGCATTATAATACTAATATAATAGGTTGAGAAGAGAAGAGGCTAACTAGGAGAAGGTGATTTTGTTTCAGCGATTACGTAATAAAGTTAAATAAATATTGTAAAAGAATATGAAAGCATCTTGCCTACACATTAAGAGTTTGTTTGTTTGTTTTTAATTATGCACAAAGCTACACAAGGGCTATCTGTGCTCTGCCCACCACGGGTATCGAAACCCGGTTTCTAGCGTTGTAAGTCCGCAGACATACCGCTGTGCCACTGGGGGGCCGCATTAAGAGAATCGGTGTCGCATTTAATAACTAAAGTCTCATTTTGTTTATGCATTGTGATAAGCATTCTCGGAATGCGATTCATGGTTTGCGACCCACTGCTGCAGAAAAAAACAAATTCCGCACTTTGAGACCGTGGGTGCATTAAAGAGTGACAGTCAAATTCCACTATTGCATGAGATAAAAGTAATCCAAAAGTTAGTATGGACACTGTTTTCTGGATGCCTTCCTTCTAATCTATAATATCAAAATTATGAACGGTTATACGCAAATATACCTTGTGTCGCTTTGCGCGTAACTGTGAATCAAACAAGCTGTTTAATAATAAGTGAGTGATTCAATTACTGAATCTTTCTGTGAAATTACTAAAGAGAAAACCGTTTTTGCAGACTTACTTGGTTGTCAAACTTTTAATCCTTTTTATTACGGTATACTACTCACGGGATACTACTCCAGGGATACTAACGTTACATCTAATCCTTTTAATTCAATATACTATTTTCTCATAGCATTTAGTTATTTGTAGTATATGTAAATTGCATTAAAAATAGTCTTTATGGATGAAATTGATCCAGGTCAGCTAGCGAGGGAGAATTAGAAAAACATGTCTTTGAATACATTACAGGCTACTTAAAACAAGTTCAAAGTATGTATTATTATTTTTATGTTAGGTTGAAAGCTTAAAAAGAGTCAAAGTGACTTAAATGTACCCTAAATTTAGGGAATGAACACGTTCACCACAACTGTGTTAATAATTAGGTTAATTATTTAGCTGTAGGATTTTTAGCGGTAGGTATTTGTAGGATACGACTGCTAATTATATGAATTCAATGAAATTAAAAAACGTTTTCGAAGTTCATTAAATGTTGAGCTTAGACATCATAAATTAAAGATATATATAACACTATAGTAAAGACCTACTCTTTTTCGACATACATATATATATATATATACTAACCACGTGTTTCCGATCTCTACTAAAACGTATATAGATTTGTAAGCCTTACGGCACTGTTTTTAAAACTAATTTTCACGATGAATCATGGTAAGTTGATGAATTTTCACCATGTAAGTTCTGAATGTTTATCAACACTATCACAAAAACATGCCAGAAAACAACACAATTTAAGTTTCTCAAACTCTTGCGTAATCAAAAGGAACTAAGATTATGTTTGTAGTTAAACACAAAGTTACACAAGGGACTATTTGTGCTGTGCCCACCACGGGTATCCAAACCTGTTGTTTAGCGTTATAAGTCGTTATCTAAAGAAAGAAAATTTTCCACTAGTTATCAGAATATAAGCGTAAACTTTGTTGTAGGCACGCAATTTATTCTCAGAATTAAAATGCAATTTAATCTACAAAATAGTGTCCCCCAGTGACACAGCGGTATGTCTGCGGACTTACAACCGGGTTTCGATATCCGTGGTGGGCAGAGCACAGATAGCCCATTGTGTAGCTTTGTGCTTAATTACAAACAAACAAACAAAACAGTGATGGTAATGTTTCGTATTGATCTACATGATTGTTCAAAAAAATTGTTAACACCTTCAAGTCATTACCTCCCCCCCCCAAGAAAAAGACGTGCTTGTAAAAGATGCCCACTGTTTTATTTGTCGCCACCTTTAAATCTGGCAGAAACTTGGCTATCTCGATCCTCTGATTCCTTGAATAAATTCCTTGGTACTTCGACATCCTAATGAACAGTAACTCAGTATATCATAATTAATACCGCCAACTAAGAAAGTACTGCAACTGACTCTTGACTGTACCATTAACAAAAATGCAACAAAACGCACTGCTTTCTTTGCTACCCAACTCCTCAAATTGAGGTCCATCTGAATAGAATTCGAACAACCCTTAAAACTATTTGGATCAACGCAGTGCCGGATTTAGACTTGGTGAGGCCGTAAACCATATAAAGCTTGGAGGCCCCTTGTTAAAAAGTTACACCAGAAGGTCTCACAAAGGTGCGTACCAAAACAGGACCTTGAGTCGCCACAAAAAAATTAAAAACATATATATGCCTTTTAGTTATTTAATAGCAAGGTATTTAAAGTGAAAAATACTAATTATTTTCAAATGAATGCATTTACTGATTACATATTTGAAAAACTACATAAAAAGCCACATAAAATTTTAAAAGCAAAAAAAAAAAATCTGAAATTTTGTGAGGCCCCTGCGGATTGTGAGGCCCTAAGCTGTAGCTTGATTAGTATATGCTTAAATCCGGCACTGGATCAAAGGAATATAAAGCATATGAGTAATGTCTTGTCAAGTTAAAATTACTTATATGTATGAAGTGTACTAAGTTTAGTCAAAGTCAACATTTATTATATAACTAATTTCAGTCATCAAGTTTATAACAACTTACAAAATGCCACGCGATGATGAGCAGAATGCGTGAAACAAGTAGTTTTGTCATTTGGGGAAAGACCCCCGATGGGACAGCAGTGAGTTTACGGAGTTACAACGCTAAATCCGGGGTTTGTTTCCCCGCAGTGGACACAGCAAATAGCCCAATGTGGCTTTACTCTGAAATACACACAAACGCACAGAAACATTTAAGTCTATCTGCTTCTGTATCCAAAGTAGAAATAAAACGTCCAAACTAATTTCGAAAACTGGATAAACTTTGCTATAACTTGTTTCCTTAACCCACACACTCGCAAAGAAACCGTGAGCTATAGATGTGTTAAGTATTGGAATTGGAAACACTAA